CCCCCCATTTCAAGGAAAAACCAAAGTTTTAAAAAAAAAATTTTTTTTTTTTTTTTTTTTTTTTTTTGGTCAGGGTATAAAACAAGCTTTTTTAACAGACCACCAGCCACACCTATGCATTTTATAAATCGACAAATCTGTCCCACTATCCTTGAGCTCAAGTAAATCTCAGTGTTTTGGGAGCAATAAAATAAAATGCATCAGCTGTCGGTGCAAACGAAAGCAAACGTTTGTTCAAATGAGTATATGTATATGTCACCTAAAAATCTAAATTTTAGTCCGTTGCAGCAAGTATTGCATCTAAGCAGATTTTTCCGATTGCGGTATTGCACGCGTTGATGTTGCCATGACAATGCATTGTTCAGCTTTCGACATGGGTTTAGGCTTAGCAGAAGGAAACGGTGTTTGGACTTGGACTCCTTTGTTCTCCGCCCGGTGTTCAGCTGCAGCTTCAGGTGGATGGCGACTCTTCAGACCGGTTCTTAACTCCGACACTCTGCTTATCTCCACCGCCGTGTCTCGATCACATCCATCCTCCTGGTACCAGCTGTCCTGAAAGTAACACCTGTAATAACCTAAAAGGACATCTTCCCATTCCATCTTTTTTTTTCCCCATCACCACCTCTGTCCATTTTTCTCTCCTTTTCTCGCTCTCCACTCATCCATACTGACCCACTTCCTCCTCTCGTTTTCCCCAGACCCAGCTGCGTCCCTTATCCCCACATACTTTACTCCGCTACACCTGGCCCCCAGACACCTATGTGTGTGTGCATCTGGAGGATGTCTGGAGGATCTTAAACACTCATCCATTTGCTGCATTCTGACTTTCTCTGCCTCACACACACATAACCACACACTTCCTTACCCAAAGACACAAATCTCTGGCTTTCTTTGTGTTATTTGTGTTATTCACATGTGCTGCTCCGTTTTTTTTGTTTTTTTTTTTAGTATATTTTTACTGAGATTTCTCCCTGAGTCAAATAATTCCTTGTGTTTAATGAAGCCAGAAGCTGCTAAAAGTGTAAACACTGTTGACCTGTTTTAAGCACAACCAGAATATAAGTGGCATGGAAATCTATGTTTGAGTAAAAAGATTTAATTTTGAACTTGAATCTTTTTCCTGTGCCAAAAATATATACAGCAAAATTACATCTCTTTAAATCGATCTTCCCGTCTTTCTACGGGAAGACCGATTCTTCCCGTAGAAGACGCGATCTTCTACGGGAAGATCGATCTACGGGATCGACTTCTCTGAGCAAATGATTGGCTGCAATCATTTTCGTTACTTTCATTGTGCCACGCCGCGTCTTTTTGCATTTCTGTTTCAGGAGACACGGCAGTCTACAAAGATGGCGTCTACTGGATCTTGGGCCGCAGCAGCGTCGACATCATCAAGAGCGGTGGCTATAAGATCAGCGCCCTCGAAGTGGAGCGACACCTACTGGCTCATCCAGACATCGTTGGTAAGTACTGTGCAAACTTTCGTTGAAAGCAATTGTTTTGTTGTTTTTATTAATTCTGAATTACTCAATGCACACTGTTGGTCAGCTGGCTGAAAGGTTTCCCTACTATTTATCTCTTTATTAAAGTAACTCTGTTTAAAAGTAACAGTTTACACTCTGTAAGCATCTTATGCACGTTACCTGAGCAGATAGCTTCACTAATCACCTGGTTAATATCAGCCGGGTACCTGATTTTACTCAGTTCCTAAAAGTACAAGTTATATTGATGGGACTTATGAAAGTAGTTATCGAGCAAAATGTTTTTTGATTATTTGATTATTAAGATCTGCATTTTTTTTTCTTTAAGAAAATGTAATTTCATAAACTTAGATGGCCAGTGCAGTTTATATTTAATTTGTCAAACTTCTTATTTTTAGATTTTGTAAACAAATTAATTAATTCAGCAATTACTTCATTAACATATTTCTGTTTGTTTTTGTGACTTAGATGTGGCTGTGATTGGCGCTAAAGATGCTACGTGGGGTCAAAAGGTCACGGCCGTGGTGCAGCTGCAGAAAGGCCGGAGTTTAACTCTACCAGAATTAAAGACCTGGGCAAGGTAATGTCAGGTTTTCAGATTTTTTTTCATCTATGCAGACTTTCAGAGTCACAATAAATATATGATTCATTTAGATGATGACCTTTTCAGGCAATGGGGTTATGTACTCTTTTTTTTTTTTTTGTCAAATGAAAAAAAAAGAGTATATTTTTGGCACAGGAAATGAAACAAGCTTTCATGCACAAACATCAGAAGATCTTTTTCAATCTGAGTAATACCGATTAAACACAAAAATTATCAATGAGGTCAAAACATAACCGTTTAAAATAATGTCATTATACAAATCTTCCCAAGTTCAATTTAGCAAAATGATTTAGAGAGCTTTAGCCATAGTCACATTGTTCTAGCTCTACCAACTACGGCAGTATTGTAGTCAGTAACAGCTACAACAGAGTTGTATTTGAAAAATTGAGATTTTTTTTTGTACTTGACTGAGAAACAACATGTGTGGCTTGTTTTATCAAAAAACTGGTAAAAAATAAAATGAAGAAACAAAGAAATGGAAGGGTTTTTTTTTTTTACATGTAAATGGTGAGCTATGTTTGGAAAAAAAACTGATTAAAAAAGTCTAACAAATTTGTCTCTGGTTATTAAGCTCTAAGGCTCAAACCTGGATTAAACAAGTATGACAGTATATTTTACATTAGCGTATTTGTTTTATTATCAATAGTATATTTTAATATATGGCAAGCAAAAAAAATAAAATGCTCCAGCCATGATTCACATCGTCATGCTCCATATTCCAATATTTACTAATTATAGGTTAATATATCTGGAGGGGAGGAACAAAATAAGTAAAGTGGAAGTTGTTTTTGCGCTCAAAGTCTAGAAAGTTTACCACCTGCGCTCTTTCACACTGTGGCCACAGTTTGACTCAGACTCGCACCACCAGAGGAGCCTGTGACCCAAATAACTTCTGACCAATCCATCATCCTAAGCCTGCAACAGCAACAGACCACCACATCCCACTATCACAGAGGTGTGTTTTTATTTGATACTGCGCTGTTATTCATGGAAGCCAAACAGAAACCGCTAATGCAGAGAAGTCCAGCTCTCGGATTCCCTCTCACTGACCCCGAAGTTCTCTCGTTAATTGAAAGACTTGTGCAGGAATAAGAAGCCGCAGTCGGATTAATAAGGAGAAAGAAGAGAAAAAAGAGGAAGATAAGCAAACAGAGGATTGCTGTGGATGTCAAACATTTCCTCCTCCTTTTCTGAATGTCAGTGGAGTTTGTTTTGTCTGAAGCTGATTGTAGTTTCCACACAAACGCTGTGATTTTTTTTTTAATCTTTTCTATCAATTTCATCATCTTCACTTCTGGATGATCAGATTATTGTTACAGTGAAAAGAAATGATGGTAAGAATTATTCATTCTGGTACAATGGAGTTATATGATTTTTGTTGATGATGTTTGCATATCATTGGGATTGTTCCTTTTAATGTTTGAACTGTTTTCCAGTTGTTGGCCCCAAGTGATCAACAATAATTGGTGTGCTACAACTTTTAAAAATAATTAAATGTTATTAGTGTGTTTAGTCTCACATGTGCACCAGCGGACCGGCAGCGCTTTGAAGAAATTGCATGCCCTGCCATGAAGTAGGGGGTAAATTTGACATATTTGCCTAAATGTTTTGCAAATAAGAATAAAACAATAACAAAAGTTCTTCATTTGTAATAAACCTGTTTCGCCCTGATGCTACAAAATGAAATCTTTGAAAGTGGAATGCCTTCAGAAGTCACCTATTTAGTAGAGTCCATTTGTGCGTAATTAATATCTTAACAGAAGTACAGCTGTTGTATGAAGGCCTCAGAAGTTTATTAGAGAACATAAGAGAGCAAACCACACCAAGAAGACAGCAGACAGGAGGGGAGCAAAGTAGTGGAGACAGGTCACAGCAGGGTTAGGTTATATACTAAATCCTAGACATACACCTGAGCTGTACAGCTCCTCCAAAGATCAGGTGGGCCTTTTGGTCTTTGCTCTGAAAAATGCTGTCCTTCCCTGCCTCGTCTGGTTTCCATTTCTGTTACAGAGTACGTATCAAATTAATCTCTGTCCTTAAAATTCTGCACACAAATGCACCAATATAATAATGTTGGGGTATTGTCTGTGATTTCTTTGTTTTCAAAATTGAAATCATTCTTATATTTGTAATTACAGCAAACAGTAAACGATTTAGTCACCTGACCTTTTTGATAAAGACAATTCTGGTTTGTGAGTGTATGCAGCAATAGACTTATAGCAAAAAAAAGCAACAAAAAAAAAACTTTAAAAAAATGTATTATTTTTCTAACCACTCATATTTTCGTTAAGAAAAATGCCATAAATTTCCTCTCCGTACAGGAATCCCGTCGGTGACATTCCCTGTAGGACCTCAGGTTTGTCCAGGCTTGACGGCTCCATACAGAGTCACGATGTTAGAATGTTAGATCCCGCTGCTCCAGTCTGGTAGATTAGCACCGCTGCCGGTGACCCAGGTTGACACGTTCGGGGCTGAACTGCAAACATACGCATGGCGCAGCGTTCACAGCCGGGGGGGTGTCCTGCCAGCGGAGCCACAGTGCCAACACGTTGCTGAGTCGAGAGTGTGGAGGAAACGGAGGCAGATAAAATGAGACATAAACAAGGAGACGGATGCTCACTCTTCAGTGCCCTGGCTTCAGCTGTCACTCTGAATCTGAATCACACCCACTGTGCTCTGTGCTGCCGTGCACACACACACGCACACACTCACGCAGGGTGCCCGGAAGAAATTGGTGACATGAGCGAGCCATGTTACGGAGACGCGTATGCATGCACATTTACCCAGACTCTCCTCCCTGAGTCAGACAGACGGAGACATCTGCTGAAAGGAGTGTTTGATGGCAGCCGTATGACTCATTATGTTCACTCGCACAGCAGCAGCAGCACACACAATAACACGCAAACAAACAAACTAGGTTAGAAGATAATAAAAACTGCTCCAGGCTTAAAGACTCGACGCAACAGCCAACCAGTGAAAACCGAAAAATAAAACACTTTTAATTATCGCAGCCTTCTGTTTTTCTCTTTATTATTTGCCGAGTTTTTTTTTTTTGTGTTTTTTTTTCATCTCATTTTGATTATGTTGCTTTGTATGAAGGGAATTGTCTGTGTCTGGAAGGGAATTGGGGATATTAAGGCAGAGAGCTGCAGAGCGCATGAAGGACGTTTCTTTCCTTATCTCAACTACTCTGCCATGGGGCAAGCCTTTGTTTTGGCAATTGTTTTTATTTTTGTGTTGTTGTTTTGATGTTGCATTAGTGTGCGCCCTCACCCGTTCGCATTGGCATATTTGTCAGCCTTGTGTTCCTTATAACTGTTTATTCTTTTGTTATTTTTTTTTTGTGCATTTTTTCCCCCCTAAACAGTCATCTGTGTGTAAAGCGTCTTGTTTATTGCAGGGAGCACATGGCGCCCTACATCATCCCGACAGGCCTGGTGTTGGTGGAGGAAATGCCGAGGAATCAGATGGGGAAAGTCAACAAGAAGGACCTCCTGCGACACTTTTCCCCGTGACTGGACGGCTTTGACGTCTGTGAAAGCGTGGGTGTTTCTTCAAGTGCGCATCTCTTCCAAGATATTCCTTCCAGATCAGACAGACGTTTCACGCTAATGTAGTGAAAGGAAACAGAATAATGGTTGATATTCGCTGGAAACCAGTCACAGCTCCCAGAACTTGCCATGGAGATAAATCTGGTCTTGTTTGTCACAACTAGTACGGTTGCTTTGATGAAGCAGAATAAAGTCGCTCCATGATGAGGGTAGTGTGTTAAAAGTTGGTTTGCAATTTGGAAAGAGAGAAGAAGTATTCAAATCTGTTTCCAAATATGCGTGTTGTGTGACAAGAGGTTTTCCAAAATACTATTTGAATCCTCTTCATTTGCCAGTTCTCTAAACTGGTTCTGAAAAGGGTGTAAAATTGCAAAAACCTAAGCAAACACTTTCATTCTTTAACTTTTTCACATTTTGTGAAACACCAACATATTTAATTGGAATATGGCGGGTGAGCACCATTCTCCATTTGCTCTGACGTTTTAGGTGAAGAGCCACGTCGATGTTCAAAGAACGGATCGAGCATTACTCTGTGACATGTTTCAACCTCCAGATGTTTTCTAACCTAACTTTAAACTTCGCAGCTTTCTCCTGCTGTGCTCCATGGTCTTCATGATGATGGTTGTTCACTAATGTCACTTTTTTAGATTTTCTCTCTCCACTTCACAATGATGAATCTCTGTCAATCTACTGGATTTAGATCCCATTAAGATGGGATCTAAATCCAAAAATATTCTAGTTGTAATGTGTCAAAATGAGAAAAAGTTGATGAGATATGAAAACCTTTCTAAGTGGTTTAATTTAAGCAGAAGCTACGTTGTTAATATTTAACACACTACCTTTCCATCATAGAGGTATTGCTGCATTCAATAACATGAACCCCTATAAATCTTTAGTATTTACAAAGAACATTTTGCGTTGGATTCATAACACATGGCAGTGTGAAACTTTATAGGATGAACTTTTGGGATCGAAGTTTTATGTAGAAAAATATTTTTGCTTTACTTGCAATAGCTCTTAAAAAAATGATCAATTTAATGTAAAGGAAGAAAAGTTGAGAAGAAATGAATGACGGCAGTCGGCACTGTTGTAGGATTCGCTGCTCTTGAAGCCATCATGATTTTATCAAGATGATACGGTGCTACACACAAATAAATTAACAACAGATAATTTTGTTATTGATTAGAAAAACATACTTTGTCTTTGTAAAAAAAAAATAGATTGATTCACTTGAATATCTGTACATAAAACACACGTGGTAAATAAAAATTTTTGGAAGTGTATCTAAAGTTACCAACCTTTTTTTTTTTTACAAGTCTGCCTCCTCTGCATGCTGTTACACTGGTTTCCTCAATGTGTGTGTGTAGGTGTGTGTGCGTGTGTGTGTGTGTGTGTGTGTGTATAAATTTGGCTACACAGGTGTGATGAGAGCTCGAAAACAACTTCTGCAGCAAGGCAAAACACCACAGCTGGATGCCCCGCACTCCATCTGACTAACCCTCTCACCCCGCTCGCTCTCCTCGCCTCTCATCCTTTCTCTTCTCAATTTATCCAATACTTCGCCTCTTCTGTCTTCATCACAAGTCACAGCAGATTGTTGCAGCGCACGGATCACCTCGGCTGCCAGACTCCCTCTGAATGAGCCGTGGCACGCTGCCAGAGTAGACTTTGTGTGTGTGTGTGTGTGAGGAAATGACAGAAACTGGAGAGAGCGGAGAAAGAACTCTAAACCAGAATGAAGCGATAACGAGAGAAAGTTGGTAGGAGGGGAGGGACAGAAAGGGACGGAAAAGACTCATGGAGTTTTCAGTAAGTGATGCAAAGTGAAGTTGGTGACGAAGTAGAAAAAGAAATCAGGCTGAGGTAAACAGTCATGTCATGATGAATGGGCAGAGAGCTGAAGATGGAAAGATATAGAAGTGCAACCCCCAGCTGATGCGGCCTCCTGTCCGCACACACACACACACACACACACACACATGCTCGTCCGCCCACAGCCACCAGAGACCTGATTAAGAGAGCAGTGCTATCGATCTGTGGGCTGGCAGGATAGGATGGATGAGCAGTCAGAGGACAGCTCCAATGCACCTCGGGTTCCCCACCTTGCAAGACGCTCAGGTCCTCGACCGGAGCCACCGGAAGGAGGCCTGGGTATGCAGAAACATCTCGTGCGTGTTTGAAGGTTGTGCTGAGGAGGTTTTTCAAAATCAAGGAGGAGCGGAGCGGGGGCTTCAGACAGTCGACGGGTACTGCTCTTGTACCCTTGAACTGCCTTCACCTCTCCTTTTTGTCTCCTCAACACACACATTCAACCACCTTCTGCCTTTGTTCGCTGGAGCGTAGTGTAAGAGGTTGTCTACAGATGGCTGCTTATTGGGCTCTAGGGTCCTGGAGGGTGGGGCCTGTAGGGATGCCGGCGAGGTTGTTTAGGACAGAGAGACGGAGAGAGAGTGTCAATGGAGTGGCAAAAGGTTTTTCAAAAATGTTTACAAAGATTCGGAAAGAGAGTTTGAATCTTTGTGGTTGTGTTTTCACATCGCATGCAACCCTGCCTCCAAGGTCTGAACAGTGATCGTGTCCCATCAAAGGCTGCAAACTGAGTGAGTTTTTCATTCACACACTGTAAAAACACAAAATCTCAACAACTATTTTTGGTCTAGTACAAATATCTTAGAGCACTTGAAATAAGATAAAGCTACCTCATAGGAAACTTTTCTGCACAATATAGGAGCTTGCTTGTTTTAAGTAAATAAAATCTTAAAAGTACTAGTTCCACTGGCAGATTAATTCTCTTATAAGACGTTTTCCCGTCTTATAAATTAAATAATTTGCCAGTGGAACTAGTAATTTTTCATACATACTAAGGAATTATTGACTTAAAACAAGTCCTTGTATCTTGCTGAAAAGTTACTTGTATGTTAGTTTTTAGAAACTAGATCAAAAATACTTGGTGAGATTTTGTGCATTTTTTGTGTCTGAGGAAGAAAAACTACAGAGAGCCTTCATAGATGTTATGAAGGATGAAGAGGATTTGGTGCTCAGTTGAGGGAGACGATCAGCTGTAGAGAACTCTAAAAACAAAAGCTCACAGAAGATCTTGTAATCTTGTAAATCTTTTCAATCCTGGCTTCTTCTATTCAAATTTACTGAGTATCGCAGTAAATGTTTCCCAAACAGATTTTCCATGTTGTGAAGTTAAAGTCGCTTCCAAACCTTTGGCCTATAGTGTACAATGTACAAAGCATTTTTAAAACATGCTCATATTGCCACTGTTTGTAGAGCCTGATTCACAATGCAGCGAGGTCAGCAGTGTAGCGGCGCGCTCTCTGAGGATTTGGACGTATATTTTATGTTATTTTGACACACATCCTCTCACTGTAACTCCGCAGACATCTCTCTGCCTGCCACTCTTCTCTGAACATGAAAGCCATCCATCACGAATGATTCTGGAGGAGAACAAAGTCCCTCCTTCTTCTCTTTAGACTGCATAATAAACAGGTCAGACTCAAGTAGCGAGGCAAACAAACACAGTAGCTTCTGGATTCGTGGCAAAGCGCTCACATGCCGCTGCGCTGTTTTACATTCCAGGAGCAAACAGAAAATGGGGCTATAATTATACAGTCAAACATTTACATGCACACTTTTGACAGTCACAAAAGCCCGTGTGCCTGCGGCTAGTTGATCAACATGACAGGCTTTATGAATGTAAGTGGGCAGAGAGCCAGAGTGATGGGAGGATGACAGCGAAGGCTCATCAGCCCCAGGGACACCCAAGTTTACATACACACATGAGTGGATCCAGAGTGCCACTAGGCCTGTGTGGGTGCTTAACCGATGCTTGTACTGGCAGGTTGTTGTTTATATGGAGCTCATGTTTATTCTAAAGCTACTTACACCTCACCGGCTCAGCCTTGGGCTTCACTCCTGTGAAACTTCCTCTGAATCGCTCTCTGTTTTCCACGCTGCCTTTTCTCCGTTGGCATTTTACTCTTTTTCTTATTCTACGACTGTCTTACTGTTTTTTTTTTTCTTCCCCGCCTCTTATTGCTATGCGTCACTGAGATGTTCCACGACACGTTTTCAGCCTTACCAGCAGCATCGCTCGAGGCCTGAAAATGTCGCTGTGATGGGCAAACCTTCCCCTGTAGCATTAGCAGAAATATCTTCATCAGCTCTTTGATGAACTGGCAGGAAAATTTTTGTTTGGATGTTTTCAGTCATCAAACGATGAAAGCTGGTGGATTTTTGATTTGTTTGCATTTTTTTTTTTTTTTTGCTAGCACTCAAAATCTATATATATATAAAAAAAAGAAAATACACAAAATTATTCCTCTGACTTTACCTTTAAGATCTTTATGAAGTTGAACGTTGTCCTCATCCAACTTGAAACCCAACCAGAATATCAATTTGTACAAGCTTGTAGTGTAGATACACCTTGCTAACGTTTCACTTTTCTTTTTTTGTTAACAAAACACAATGTTTTGCTAAAAAAAAAGAATTGTGTTTTCTAATAGGCTTGTAGTCTAAAAGTTCAAATAAGTTGTTAAAAATTCCAAAATCAATGGCAATTTTTGCCCAAGGTGAGTTTTTCAAAACTAGCTATTTGTCGCATGCAAACTTTTACTCCAGCATTTTCTTGTTAAAATAAAGAGGCTAAAAACTTTTCAAAGAAAAGAGAAAAAAAAAATCACAGATCAATACCGAATAATCATGTTCTAGCACTCATAACTCGGCCCACTCAACAATGGAGAGAGACAAGGTCATGAGAGAATAAATAGCAGGCAGACTAGCTAATGATCTATCATTCTGGACAAGCGGCTGCACCAGAGAGCGGGCTGGCTGACAAGATCATTAATAAAAGCTGCTGGGAGAGTGATCGATCGGCTTGATGGATGATCAGAGCCACAAATACTATAAAACACCTGGATGTCAAGCCCCGTCTCTTTGAAGGAAGGGGAGCCTTCACCCTCCGACAGGGGAGTCGTCAGACGAGTTCAGACCCTGATGCTCGACTTATCTACTGTGCTGGAAAATGAATTCAGTTTTGCATCTCCCCGCCTTGGATTTAGTGCGTGCAGTGTAGCGCGGTGGAGTGTTGTGTTCTCCGCTCTCTGCAGTCGGTGGTGTGTGTTGTAAGCTCGGAGAAGCTCAGTGTGAGAGCATCAGTGTAATTTCAGGTAGATCAGGGAGTCAGCAGGTGTTGTGCCACGCAGGCTGCAGCAGCAGTCTATCGTTCTGTAATGGGAGGTATTCATTATTGACGTGCTCCTTTCACGCCATTACTGAGCTCTGTGGTGGTAATCCGTGTCTCCTCTATGTATCTCCGCTCCCTCCCGGCCTCCGTTCTCTCTCTATCTACAGTATCTGCCAGCATGCTACGGTGTCTCTTTTGTCATCAGCGCGCACACACACATACAGTCGCACGCCTTACTCAGCAGCTCATCTTGATTCTTAATCTTTTCAGAGAGAAGGAGAATGAGTTCAGAAGGAGAGGAGTCTCCTTGCATGGCTGCTTGTATCAATATCTGTACATTGATCTGGCCTTGCCTCTCCTCCTCCATTCATCCAGATATAGATTGGTTTTTCCAGCAGGTATCTCTGCCTATAATCTGACAGATGGGTGGAGTGCATGAGGGGGGTTTTATTGGACCGAGGGGGGTGCGGGGGGAAGGGGGGGGGGATCTCACATGCCACTAGAGTGTGTTAGACCGCTGAACAAAAAGAAACAGGGAGGGGACATTGGGTCCCGGTGATGGCAACACTTTTATTTGTTTGCAGACCGATACAGATGGAAAGAGAAAGAGTTTATGGCTCGTTTTTATTGTTAGACAAAACTATTTTGAATTAAATTTCTGATGCTGCATAAGTGAAACAATGATCAATAAATAACCATGTTTACCAAAAATCACCGCTCCATGGAGATGAATATTGACTTCTGGTAGAAAGAAACATCTGATCACATTTCTTTACTCTGTTCTGTAAAGCCCTGTGGCTTTACAGACATACCGTCCCATCACAGACTGAGGGTTTCTGTTTTTTAAGCTCTCTCTTTGCTGTCACGGCTTAATAATAACCATAATGGCTATTTTCCTAAAATGTGTAAGTTTTACTGCGGGGTCTTGTTTCAGTCTGACACTAACAGTACAAACCTTTAACTTCCTAAACTTTATTTTAGACTCACAAAATAACACAGAGACTCCAGACACCATAGACAGCTTATCATTTTTTCCATCTATCTCTAAATGTGCTATTCACCTCTTGTAACAATTATTCTCCATTCCAC